GAAGCCTACAAATAGTTGCGCTATCACATCGAATGGTGGAAGTAGAGCCAGAATACTGACTGGCCAAGGGAAGTGATGTAGAAGCTTCCTACTTATACTGGACCATGAGTGAAAAGTAGAGTTATCCACAAGAAAATGGAAATCTAAGCCAGCTCTATAGATGAATGTGAAGCCAAAATCATACTTGGGGTATGGAAAGTCTAAGCTGAGAAACAAACCTTAGCAAGTCATTCATGGTGGTAATGTCAGAATAGCTTGGTCAGATTAACCTTTCTGTAGTATCAACTAGAAATCTGGAAAAAGTATTTTAAAACAACTGTATGAAAGCACTGGAGAAGGACAGAAAGTATTTAGAAACTGGATAAAAATCCACTCTTAAAATACAATTATAATCGGTGTAATTTAGGAGCTTGAGGCTTTTTGTCTACAGACATTGTTAAATACACATGAAACTCAGAGAGGCAGAAAGCCGGAGCCCCACCCCTTGAGGCAGCATAAGGAAGTTCAGGGCTTGTGGAGTATCTATAAAGTTTAGAGGGGAAACTGTGGAAACAGAAGGAGCTACAGAAAGGGTGAACCATAAAATCTTAATACAAACTGAGCCAAAATCTTTGGCAGGCCACTAAACTATGCATGAGATGGGGAGTCCTTGAGAGTCCACATGATAATCAGCAGACGGAAGTGGCTGTAGAGAGATTTCAGCTCCTGCTCACCACAGGGCATATCAAGGTTAACAAAACCCTTCGGAGAAACATGAACTCTATAGAGACTCTTCAGCATATCATAATATCCAGTATGCAATCAATCAAAAATCACTAGACTTTCTAAGAAACAAGAGAATGTGACCCATACTCTGGAGAAAAATCAGGCAGTATAAATCATTTCTAAGATGACCTATCTGTTGCATTGTAGCAGACAAGGAACTTTAAAGCAACCACTATTATAACTATTGTAATATTTTATAAGAAAATATAGCAAATAAACAGATTGATAACTTCAGCAAAGAAATAGAAATGATAAAAAGAAATCAAATAGAGGAAGGAGGGGGCTTTTGTAATGGTGGCATAAAAAGTTCAGGCAACTGCTTTTAAAGATAAAATTATAAAAATGGGACAAAATTATGTAAAGTAACTTCTGCTCTGTGAAAGATAATGTCAAGAGAATGAAAAGACAAGCCACAGACTGGGAGAAACTATTTTAAAAAGACACATCTGATAAAGGAGTTAGTTACAAAGAACTCTTAAAACTCAACAGTAAGAAAAAAAACAACCTGATTAAAAAATGGGCCAAAGACCTTAACAGACACCTCACCAAAGAAGATATGCAGATGGAAATAACCATATGAAGAGATGCTCCACATCATTTGTCATTAGGGAAATGCAAATTCAAACACTGAGTTCCCAATACACACCTATTAGAATGGCCAAATCTGCACCCAACTGAAAATTTTTTAATTGAAAAATATAACATCTGAAGTCCATGCTCACCAATTCTATTCACTACTGTACAGAAAAATTTAGTTAGTACAATAAGACAGGAAAAGATATAGAAGTCATAGATATTTGAAAGAAAAAGTAAAACTCTTTAGTTGTAGATGACATGATCATGTACACAATCCTAAAGGATCTACAAAAACATCTACTAGAATGAATTTCTGATTAAGCATAATTGTGGGATAAGAGTTCAACATAAAAAAAATTGTTTTCTTGGATCTGCAAGAAGGAATGAGAAGTCCCATCAATAATAGCCTAACAAATACCCTTAGGGTCTGCCAGAGGTAAGGAACTTCAATAAACTAGAAATTTGTGTGAGAAAAAGTGCTTCAGCAAAACTTTGTACGCTAAGGGAAAGAAGAGATTCCAGCTTCTCCCAGGAAGAAAACCAAACCTCTGATAGAATTGCTTTAAGTACCTAAGATCTAAAAATGCATACAGCGTTTCTGAGGTGCAGAGCTGGGTAGTGATTCCTTTGCAGTGACAGTGTCTGGGCTGACTACCTGTACTCTGTCAGGGATAGAAGCCTCTGATCCCCAGCATCTAGGAACGTTACCTAAGAAGACGGTAAAGTCGGACTCTTCTGAGTTCATTTTCACTGAAGGACCAATTCTGTGGCTCTCCAACAGACACCGAAGTGAATGTTGAGACAGTTCCTGAACCATACCTTATTTTCTTGAATCCCTCACCTAAATCAAGGCTAAAGGAAGAGCTTGGATTTGGAGGAGAGAAATTTATGGAAAAATTCTCTGGAGAGAGCTGTTGCCTATTAGCACCCCCCAGCCCCTGCCCCTGCTTCAGATGAGCAATGTGAGATTCTACCTTCTTCATCTCAAACATAACAAAAGGGGCTTCCTGGAAAGCCTGATGTGTGCCCTGGAATCTGGTGACACTGTAGACAGGTGTCTGTTTTGGGTCCAAGGGATGACAGAAGGTAGGATAAGGGCTCATGGCTTTGGTGGTGTAACCAAGAGAAAGCTGCTGTGCTGGAAGACCCTGTACTGCCTTAATGTGTCTAGAAATAGGATGTCTGGGTGTTTTCTGGGAGCAAAACACTAATCACCTGAAAGAGCAGAGCCGGAGCTACTGGGGCAGGCATAGGCTACAGCATATGAACCAGAGGCAGACGGCAGAGTATTCCAGGGAATCAAATGCACCTCCTGTGTTTTGAAGATTATGGCTGACGGGGGGCCTTGGGAAGTGTCTGCAGAGCCCAAAAGCACTCACAAGACAAAGCTGGCTCTAGCCACCTGCCCACACCAGAGAAGATGAAGTCACCCATCAAGGTAGAGCTCTTGTCTCTCCTCATCACCATACATGTATATTGGAACTGAACAATTAAATAAATGGATGGCAGATGGTGAGAGCCAGGTTTTACTGCTGGAGGAGTTTACAAGGCTAGAGGAGATATGCATGGGGAACAGGCTAAAACGATCCATTTGGCAATGGATCAGAGTTGGAGATATCAGTATGAATTCATGTTTACCTTAATGCAGGTATAGATGGTTATGTATAGAAATATTTATAGATATGTGTACATATACAAGGTTAGAATACATAAATATGTTTCCTCAGTCTTCCAGCTGAGAGGTTCTGGAATGCCTTAGAAAGTCCTAGAAAATACCTCAGTAACAGTGGGCACCCCTAACACCCAGATCTTGTTTTCTAATACATTCTCAAATAAAAGGGGCCAGGATCCTTAGAGAAGTAGCTAATTCTAGGACTGAGGCAAGACTTTGAGAGATGGGAATACCAGAGTGGATTTATGAGGTGTGACCCATGCATTCACCCCTAAATGTGCCCCCGGAGAGAGCCTAGACATTTCCATGGCATAGAGAAACACACTACTGAGGGAAATGTAATATGTAAAAGTGCTAGTGTGGATCTCCTCTATGCATCAAAAATGAATATGAAGATGCTACATTTGAAACAGGCTTCCTAATTCCAGTGAGGTTAATGGGATTGGATTCTGGGGAAGCAGCAGTCATCCCTACTGGCACATAAGGCATGCTTACTTAGTTTTCCAAAATGCATCCAGGATTGCATGTATCTTATTTGTTCCTTCCCCAACTACTTCTAGAAATGAGAGAATTGGCGGGGAGCAGGGCTAGGGGCTGGACACACAGAGATGCTGAAGCAAGGTGCTGACAACCTGATCCTACCACCTTTACCATCTTCAGGTGACATTCTAAGGCAAGCATGTTTCCTCAGGGTGCTCCGAGATCCTCAGTGTTCCCAGAATTGTCCCTGGCCCCAGACACTCTGCATGGTCCTCATTATCTTAGAGCCTACAGCTTGCACAGCAGCACAGAGGCCCTGGAGGTACTATCACAACCAGCCTGGAGCAGAGGATTTAGCTGAGTTCTGCCTGTGCTGAGGACCCTGAAGCCTGAGCTGGCTCTGAGACAGCTGTTCGCCTTGGCAACCTGCCACAGTCAGTCAAGCAGAGCACCCACAGTGTGGGAGTCACTTAGGGCTTGTGGAAGATGCTTCTAACCAGAGCTGAGCTCACAGGGCAGCAAGAGAGCCTGCCTGTACCAGAACCACGGAGTCACTGGCCCAGAGCTGCAAAGGGCCTTGATGCCCACCTACTCAAGCATTTCCCAAAGCACATAACAAAAGTTCTAGTTTTTAGGATAGTTAACAGATTTTATCAAAAAGAGTCTCATAATCGAGGAAATTTGTAAAACATTGGATTAAAAACAAATTAAAAATCTTTTCTACAAGTCTTCTCTAATCTCCAAGAAGGTAGCATTTTTCCCAATTTTGCTATGTGAGCTACAGCTGAGCCTCAGTGTCTTCATCTGCAATGTAGAAATAATAATGCCAGCCTTGGAGAATTGCTGTGAGGCCAAATGGGATCATGAGTTCAGAAGCACATTTAGCACAGCGTCTCACATGGGAGGTCTCAGCAAATCTTAGTTCTCTTCTCCTCCTACGCTTTTCATTTTTCTTTCATATTTTCCTTAGATTCAGTAAATTACCCCAGGTACAAATTTCTGTGAAATTATTTGAAACAGATTTTTTGGTCTCCAGATGCCACCCGTGTAATTACGTATGCAGTGAAGTCTCCTACCCAGTTACCTAGTAGGACAGAGGGACCCCAGGTCCACTGGGAGAGAAACCCCAGTAAACACAGGAACATGGTACCCGCCACACAGCGCTGAGTGGGAAGACCCATCCCAAGCCTTGAACGGTGGCTTTGCCTCCTCCTGAAGCACCAAGGACCAGATGGAGTCGTGGGTTAAAACACACAAGACAGATTCATAATCACAAAAGAAGAGGCTTGGCAGCCGGCTCAGTGGAAGAGGCACTAGACCCGGAGTCAGGAGGCTTCCACGGGCTGTTTACCCTCTCAGTGTTTGCACTTCCCTCCGCTGGAACGAGCCCGGGTGTGGACAGATGATCTCCATGCGCTCTTCATCTAATCCATGATTCTTCCCATTTTAAAGGTCACCAACTGCTGCATAATCTGAAGCCCAATAGGCACAGTCCACACACCCAAAATACACTTTATTGAGACTGCAACATTTACAATAAATCACTCATTACAACACATCGGAAAGACTCAAGTGTTACAGAGTTCACACTCACAAATATAAGTCACTTTGGCTCTGAGACACAGAACATGGGGAAGGGGGCAGACAGTACACTGACAGGACACCAGACCTCGTGGGCCCTCTGGGGGCTCCCCTCCAGAGAAGACCCTCCTAGATGCCCTCAGAAGCCACATGAAGTTCTCCCCGTGAGTGCAGAGCAGGACAAACTTTCTGTAGCCCTGCTGCCTGGTCTCTTTTGGGTTCAAAGAATTTAATTTCTACAGAAGCCTTAAGAGGAAACCTTCAGCTACTTGCTGACACCACAAAATAGGCATAATCATGGGAGCCATTTGGCCCAAAAAATCCACCTGGGAATCCCTACGGGCTTAAAAGGCTCCCTCTGCCCCTTGAAAGTCAATTTTCTACCCACTGTTTAGAAGATATGTTTTAAACTTGTCATCTTGAAGATTTTCAAACATCCTCATAAACAAAACAGCATAATGAAGTCCCTTGCTTCATCAGAGGGAGGCAGATTACATGACTAAATTCAGTTTCATTAATAGTGGAGATGGCTGCAGGAATCTTGGTCAAACCCCTTCTCCCCGAACCTCAGTTTTCCACTTAGCCCTATAGCCACGCTTTGCTTTCAGGATTTATCTGGTGCCAGAAAGAAACCTGAAGCCAGTGTGAGAGTGGTAACTGTTTGGGGCTGGTGAATTAAGCTCTGTTCCCTGCTACATGGCTCTCCTGGGTGCCACAGTGAGTCACTCAGTACCGGATGGAAGGGGGTGAAAACACTTAGTCTCTGCAATGGGATTTCTCTGGCAAGTTGAGTCCTTAAGGACTATCATGATGCCAAAGGTTTCTGCAAGTGACACGTGAGCCATCAGGGTGATGTTGACAGCGAGTCGTCTTTTGGGAACCAGCATGAAGAAGCCTTAGCGTCAAGACAAAACAGAGAAACAGCCCGTCTGGACAGGTAGGAGGGATGAGGTATCTGAGCACAGTTATTTCCAGCATGTTGGAAAGCCTGCTACGCTCATCTCCTGGGAAAGCAGTGCAGTGTTTTACTCCTTGTTCTGTGTGATTGCAGGAGAGAAGGATGTATGCCTCCTGAATGAGTTTTGTTCCCCATCTCATCACAACGCCTCCAGCTGACAAGAGGTACTTCAGCCCATCACTGGCTACAGGAAGACAGTCTTCCAGCTCTGTGCCAGTCTCGTCCTTGGAGTCCTCTCCCACCTCTTCTGCCAACTCTTCTGGTAGACATTATTCCATGGAGAGGGGCTTGGAAGTTTTCTGCTTTATCCCTATATCTTGCTTATCTCTAAACGGAAAAGTGCAATTCAGAATGAAATCAGAAACACCCACACACGGGAAAGGGCTGCAAATAAATCTGCAATATGCTAGCAGAACTTATCATACACTGGGCGGAGATGTGGTAGTTTTTATTTTCTTCTTTGCGCTATTCTGAATTTTCCAATTTTAATACTTTTTCTTTGTTTTAAAGGAAGCTCAGTAACTCCTCTTTGTTTTAAGGAGCCCAGGTGGTTCTTTCTTGTCATGTACGGAGCCAAGTCACCACAGAATCGATTCATCCTGATCCAACAACTTCAGGAGTGACCTCTGGGCCAGCTCTGGCTTGCTGACCTCTCACTGGCCAGTGAGCCTTTCTAAAGCAGAGCTCGGTGCATCTGGGTTGGCCACACCCTCGGTATGACTCAGGTGTCCTTTACGGATGCTGAGCCACAGGGAGGTTGTAAGGCAACTTCTTGATAGTTGAGGCAGTTGACTGACTCAGCCCGAGTGGGTGGAAGTTGTCCTGGGCTCTCTGGCTCAGGGAACCAGGGTGATACACCTCACAGCATTTCTTAAGACATGATTTCATCGATTTGGGTCTCACATCACATGCGGTAGGAGGCTGAGCAGAGACTTCCTAGGAACTCAAGAGTCCTATGGCCTCTGTAGCAACTTGTTTCCAGTACTGTGAAGGTTCATGTGTGAGAAGACAGGCTTTTTGCCAGGCTCTGTCCTCAGGCCCCTTCCCAGCCTCAGCTGGAGACAGAGCCCTCCTCTGCCTCGTCCACCCTCCTCTAACTCATTGCCACAGTGGGCTCCCTGGATGACAGGTCTGTCTTGCCAGACTGGACTTGGGAGGAGGGCAGGAGGTGGTTGGCTGGAGGAGCCCTCCGGCCATTGCTCTCTTCTGTCCAAGCCACCCTGAAGGAAGGCACTGGGGAGGGCGGCTGCTCCTCCTGAGGCTTGGCTGGCCTTTGGCACATGCCCAGTAGCGCCTTCAACTCCACTCTGAAGTTCTCGTTGAGCCAGCAGTAGATGAAGGGATTGTAGCAAGTGCTGCTCATGGCAAACCAGTGGAAGGCAAAGTAGAGGGCATTGTTGGTGCGGATGACCTTGCTGGACAGGAGGAGGACATAGCAGTTAAGGGGGAACCAGCAGAGGGCAAACAGGACCACCACCAGCATCAGCATCTTGATGGTCTTTTTCTTCTTGCGCCGCAGAGCCAGGTACTGCTCCGTGGTCACGTCACCGATTGTGTTGCACAGCCACAGCTTCTTGGCCACACGGGCGTAGGCCACGGACATGATGAGGAGGGGTAGGATGTAAAGCAGGATGAAGGTGGCCAGATCCAGGTACTTCCAGAAGAGGTCAGCTGGCTCGGGGAAGTCAGGCAGGCACAGGGAGCGGACAATGTCCTCACTGGGGGCAGGAAGGGGACAGGGAGAGAGAGAGAGAGGGAGAGGGAGATTGAGAGAGGAAAGGAGGGTATGCAGTCAGTGTGGGAAGGCCTCGTCTCTCTGCCCTGGGCTCCTGGTAGACCCGCCTGTTAGACGGTGGCCGCAGCCTAACTCCCTGATCACATTTCTGCCTCTCCCACCAGGCTGGGAGTCCTGTGAAGATAAAGAATAGACCTGGATCTCTCTGTGTCCTACCAACCTTGGCTTACTCCTAGCCCCTAATATTTGTTCAGTGAATGAATTCAACAGTGATGTTCCTAGTCTTAGCGCTAACTCACCCTGGGAGTACAGCGTGTTCAGGAAATCTTAGAATTTGCCATCGTACTATCTACTCCCATAAGGGAGGCGGACCAAGAAAGGGGCAGCGAAATGACGGGACTTGAGAACTTGGCTGGCAATGCTTGAACTAACATACCTTCAGCCACTCCTGTAACAAGTATTTCTTTTCTATGGAATGCACCTGGTCCTCTTAAAGCTTTTTAAGGACATCCTTGTGTGTTGGAAAACCCAGAGCTGGTGAGTTGAGGATACGCGGATTATGACCTGAATGAGGGTGCACAGGCCACCCACACAGGGTTGGCAGGCAGCACCCACGGCATTCAAACCCCACTCTGAGGCAATGACAATCCTGAGGCCGTTTGGGTTGAAGGCGCAGTTTCAATAGACTCACACAAAGGAAGTCAGGTCCCAAGATTTATCACTTACAGATCCCAGAGCAGGGGTGCAATGAGCCCTGGGAGGGCATTCCTCCACCCCAGGTCACAAGATCGCAGGAGACGGAGAGCGGGGCAGCAAGCCCTTCTCTGACCGAGAAGGTGGTTGGGGCGGTGGTCACTGACTCTCCATGGGCTCAGCCTGAGTGGTTTTAAAAGGTGCCGGAGGAAAAGCAAGGTAGGGACTTGAGGCGGGAATCCTGAGCTCAGGTCCTCATCTGGATCTGGTGTGAACAGGGCCGTCATACTGTAAAATGCCTCGGCAGTAACTCACAATGGCTGTTTTCTCATCATACCGTGTGGCTGTGGCTCCTGTTATATGCGCTGGTGGCATCGCTAGTGAAGGAGAAAACTCTTTCCTTAGTGTAAAAAAAAATAGCCCTCCATGTGTGAAGGCAGATGGGAGGCGGGGTGGGTGGGTATGGGATTCATTCCGATATCCTAGAATTCGGGGAGGGAGCCTTTATAAATTGGTTGAAATCGGACTCCAGAGCTTGTTTCCTTGATGCTGCTTATGCATACGAGTCTAAGTGTATGTTTTAGGAAGGACAGCGAATGGCTACTGCAGGACATGCCAGCAGTGCACCCCCAGGTTCCCTCAGATCCCCTTTACTGGTCAGAGCACCAGGCTCCCAGCTCCTGCCGGCCCTGCAAGAAATAGCTGGCATCTGTGATCTAGGTGCCTAAAATTACCCTCAGGCCACTGAAGACACTTCCCCAGATCCGCTAAGAGCCAGAGGGGCTGGGAGTTTCCACTGTCCCTGGACAGCCTGGAATATGAAAACCCAGCTCCCGTGCCTCAAGGTGGGGCAAACACTGTGTTACCAGTTTGTTCCAGGGCCCCCTGTGGAACAGGCTTCCAGTGGCCCCCAACCCTAAGCCCTGAAATCACACCCTCCTAGGTCTCTCCCCATTTGCTGTCCTGCCACCCCACTCCTTTACCCATCACTCCTGGAAACACTCCTGAAAAGATCATGAGATCACATTACCTTCCTTGATATCAGGGTCTGGTCCTAAGGAGCCTCATCTAAAACAACTATAAACAAATGAAAATCACTCTAAGCTCATTCATTCATTCATGCAGTAAATATGTATCGAGGGCTTGTTATGTGAAGACAGGAAGTTAGGTGCCTGGACACCAGGGCAGCAGAAATGGGGCCAGTGCTCCCCAAGCTTACAGTCTAGTGGGGAGATCACCTTGAATGAACTAGTAGCACACATGAGCATTTAAATTTTAAAAAACTGAATGTTTGGAAAGAAATTCTCATTCTGTGACAGCATACAACAAAGAAACTTGAATGGGAGGGGAAGGTGGGTAGAGCATCCCACCTCAGGCCCAGAGATAGATACACGCTTTGTCTGTAGGTTGTGTGAGAGGATTTAAACATCACCATTTTAAATGAGGCCTGGGTGATTTTGAATCTTTGTGTGAGATTCTGTCACATCTCCAGGGACAGAAGCTGCTTTGACCTTGCAGACAAACTGGAAAGAGAATAAGGAGAGAGCTACCCTTGTTGAGAAGAAGAGATGAGGAAAAGCAGAGAAAATGCAGAGGATAGGCACAGTCCTGGAAGAAGAGGATGGGAGAGAGGCAGGAGGAATGGCCCAGCACAGCAGGTACTGGTAGCAGATTCAGGGGGTCCCAGATTTCCCTCGGGTGAGGTGCACAGAGTGCCCTGCTGCCTGCTACTAGTTAATCCCACCTGTACTTGAAGGTAAATAGCTTCTGGCAGATGGCGTGTGGGAGCGAGAAGAACGTCGCCATGGTCCAAATGACTGCTATGTAGACGACGCCTTTCGTGATGGAGATCCGGGGTTTTAACGGATGCATAATGACCTGGAAAAGAAGCAAATGCATCATGGGCTGAAGAAGTTTTGAAGCAAATGGGTGATCCAGGCAACACAGCTCACTTGTCACAGTAAGTCAGGCAGGTCCTATTTATAAAGTTCAGCACCCTGTCATTCATTATTGAGCCTCTCAGCTGCACCACCCCACAGCCCACCTCCAGGGGTAGAAAGAGGATGTCATCCAGATTTAGACTCCAGGCAATTCAAATGCCTTTTGCAGATCATACGTGGCAAGACCAGAGGGCAGTGAGAGGGTCTGAGGGTGACAGACATGGCGAGGAGATGCTCACCACTTATCATGGGGAGTGGAACTGCATTTATTTGGGAGTTCAGAACACCATTTATGAAAGCTATTTCTAAAATAGCAATGGGCCCCAGGCTTTCCCATGTCTATCGTAAAGGCCTCAGGCTAAAAAGCATCTCATCAATTCTCCTAAAAGTTTAAATAAAGCCTTGGGAATTTAACAGCATCCTCATTTTAAGATTAGAATTATTTCTTGAAAAAGGCATTTTTAGGATGGGTGAGTCCAGGGTCGGGGTAGAGGACATAAAGAGCTGCCACTGCCTCAGGATGTCATCCCAGAATACACTGGACATTCTAGCTGTGTCCTCCCAAATTTTTCTCCCAATTTTTTCAAGGTTTTATAGGAGGAAGTGACTAGGCTTTAGAAGCTGCCCAGCACATCTCCATTCTGGACTTGGCTATCTTTGCCTCTTCTATTCTTTCATTGTTCAGGTTGCTGAAGAAAGTCAGAGGCTCTAGATGTCACTCAAAGACTCCACTGGCATGGGGACAGGGCCTGTGTTTGGGTGTATGTCACAGCAATGTGGTCAGTATAGGCAAGACTTATAGTCTTGTTCCTCAGACTCACCATGGCCAAAGGGTCAAGGGTCAACTCAGTTAGCTGTGTTAAGTGGAGGTAAGCATAGGCCATGTAAAGGTAAACATAGAGTCTCTCTTATTAAATTAGGGGAGAATGTTAAGAAAAAGCAAAAAACATTGTATGCCATCTTTTCACACTTTGCACCAAAGCGTCTGCAATATAAATGCCAAAATGATGGCATTTCACGGATAAAGAGATCTCAGAGTTTGCCAAGTCCAATTCCAGATCAGACGCAAGCATCTCCTCTAAAACATCCCTGTCCAGTGACCATCCAGTTTGCTTAAAGATAGCTGGCGACATGAAACTCTGTCTCTCCCCAGGCTGTTTTGCCTACCTTTGGACACTTCTATTAGAAAATTCTTCCTCGTATCAAGCTGTATCTTTGAATCTGCATCTTTGAAGCTTCCTATCCCCTTGTCCTTGTTGCACCTCTTAGAGGTACTCAGAATAAATTCTCTCTTTGTTCCAGTGGCGCTTTTGATATTGGCCGTGTAGGGCCCTTGAGGCTTCTCAGAGTAGGGTGGTCTAGTGATCAGAGCATGTGCTTGGAAGCAGACAGACCTTGGTCCTAATTCTAGCTGCATCGTTCACCAGGTATGTGATCTTGGGAAAGGTACATGCGCACTTTTCTGAGCTTCCATGCCTTGATTCAGCATAGAACTAAGTATACCACGTGGGTTCGCTGAGTTAGTGCCCTTGAGGCACCTGCCATGGAGTCATCCTCCTCTGGGATGGGTATACTCAGGTCCCCTTCGGTTCCCTGCACCATATCCTCCCATGTGTGAATGATGGGGCAGGACAGTGAGCAGGGCCTTCCTGTCCCCCTCAGTGCCTGCTCCTGCCACCTGGACACCCTAGCCCGTCTTTTTCCTCAACAGCTTGGGCCAGGAAATATCCACCTCCCAGTCAGGAGCCTTGTCTCTGACCTGCAATTATTTACCATCCTCTTTTCATCTGTGGTTTTCCAGGTTTGCTTCTACCCCCAAAAGAAGGTCATTTTAATTTCTGAGACACAAAATGCTAGCAGTGAGTCTTCGTTGGAACAATAACCTGGGAATGACTTTTTTGCAACATCAGAGGGGTTAATATGTTTAATCTAAGTGCCAATGTTAGTCAATAAGAAGACAGAGACATTCACTGAAAATTTTACTTAAAAACTATCTTGAGAGTCCCTGCAGTCCCTGGAAAGCAAGCTAGAGGGAAAAAATGGCCATTGGGGGTAGCTGCCCTCACCTGGTGACGGTCCACAGCAATGGCAGTCAGCGTCAGTGCTGAGACGTGCAGGGAGCAGTACTGGGCAAAGCGGCTGACGTGGCACATTCCTTTCCCGAACACCCATGTGCTGTTCACAAAGCGGACCTAGAGGTGAGCCCATAGAGGTCAGAAGACAGACAGGCCTTGACCCTGACACCACCCACCATGGTCTCTCTGAGCAGCATCCCTCAGGGGGCCTCTTCTAGTTGCTCCTTTCCTCCACTCTACACTGCTTAATTGTGGGTCACACACGATTTTGCTTAAAGATAGAAGGCGTGACTCATTCTTAATCATTCAGTTCAACAAACCCTAATCCTGCTTCTGGGGCCAGGCCCAGTTTCCTGGGGCCAGGAAAGTGTGGGAATGACATGCATTTTGGAGTTGGACTTCCCACCTGTAGTCATTTTTAGCTGTGCGACCTTGGGCAAGGCATGTAACCTCTCTGAACCTCAATTTCCTCATTTGTAAAAGAAGGCTTAAAAAATCTCTATCTTGTGGGTTTATTATAAGGATTAAGTTTTTTTAAAGTCAATAAAGGGTGGAACACAACGGCTGGTAAATGATAGAAATGCATTGTTAGAAATAAATAGCAGCTATTTTTATGGTAATAACAAAATACATGCTTAGCCTCTTAGTTCAGGCTAGTGGGGGAGACACATCTGAAAAGTGTATGCATGGCACGTGGGCTGTGTTCTTGAATGTTGGCTAAGCAGGCCTTGTAACACATCATTGGGGAAGGAGACCCAGAGGCCTGGGGAGATGTGGGCAGGGGTGAACGGGTTTTGTGGGAAGGGAAGACAAGCTCCGGGGCAGTGTGGGGCCCTGCGAGCAGGCCCAGGCCTTGTCCCACATGAGGCATGCCCGTGTGCTCGCTCCGCCAGTTTCTGTGAGTGGTGTCTCAAGCCCGAGAAAGACCAAGCTTTGATTCTGATCAAGGAGCCTCCAGCCTGGGCAGAGGAGGACCCAGCTCTCTTGGATACAAGACAGAAAATACTTAGTGCCCCACAGAAGGGTCAGACAAAGGGCATCAGTGGGGTGCGAGTGGCCTGAGGCACAGAAAGAGATGATAAAGAAATACTGCAGGTCTGCCCAACAGAGAGAGTATCTATCGTGGAGTGATTAACGGCAGCCTGTCTGCCTCACACCTGTCACTTCGGGCAAGGCACTTAGGCTCTATGAGCTTCACTTTCCTTCCCTGTCAAGTGGGGCTAACGCTTTCCACTCAGTTATTATGAAAATGCAGGTACCGGAGGTGCAACAGCACACGGCACCCAGCAAGTACTTAACACTATTAACTGCCACTGTTATAATATCTGAGACGTTTGAGATGAGCTTTAAAGAACAGGGAGGATTTGCACATGTGACAGTAAGAACAAAGGCCTTGGCATGGCCTCAGAAATCCCAGGACCTGTTTGGAGAATGAAGAGTGGAATGGTTTGGCTGGAGTATGTGAACGTGAGTCATGAGGGACAAGTCTGGCCAGACGATAAGGCTCAGAGAGCAGGCCGCGCACTTTACTCTTTTTGGGGTAGGCAGGCCATGCGACCTTAGAGCATCCAGTACCCTGACTGAGCTAGAAATCTTCAGAGGCTCCTACTTCTCACCTCCACATTCATTACCGAAGGCACCCAGAGCTACCTCTAAATGGGTCTCGTATCCACTTCTTCTTCAGTCCCAAGTCCATGGCCCTCACGGGGTCCCCATCATCTCTCGCCTGGACCATTACAGCCTCCTAAGAGCTTTCTTGTCCTCCAGGCTGGCCCACTTGTAATTCAACCTTCACACTGCTGACAGTATTTTTCTTAACCAAAACCACATTATTATCACCTTTCTGCTTAGAATCATCATGGACCTCAGGACAGAGCCAAAAGCCTTTAGGAAAATCCACACCCATTTACCACCTGGCCCCAGCCTTCCTTTCTGGCCCACCTCTGCTTCTCCTCCCTCACGATTCCCCCGCAGTGATTCCTGCCTCCGCTTCTCCAGCTACCCTGAGCCACTCAACATCCCCTCAAACACCGTGAACTCTGATGCCCCATGTCTCTGTTCTCCCAGGTCTGTCTGCACTGGGTGTTCATCTTGACCTGGGAAGTTCCTAGTCATCCAGGCCTCTCTGAAATGTCACGTTTTTTTGTACAGTCTCCTTTGATCCTCTTGTGACACTGGCAGGTCAGAATGAATTATTCCCTCCTTCAAGGCTCCACTATTCTGTGCATGTCTCTGCCATGCGAAGGGCAAGTAAATTGCTTGCTTTTTCTCTCAATGACCACAGCTGGACATCATGCTGACTTGTCATGTGTACAGTGGACAGGAAGGGAAACCAGGGAGGAAGGACACTGTGACCAACAAGCCCAAAGGCAGGAGACCTTATCTAGTCAGGAAGCTTGGCTGAGGGCTTAGAAGACTCTGCCAGCAACCCTTTAACTCTCCCTGGCTGCAGCACCTTGTAAGCTCTGGCAGGAGTTTGGATTGGGGCAATTAAATGGGTCAGGTTCAAAGCCATGCTTCGGTCAGATTCTTTGGATCACCTTGGAGGAGCACTCGCATGTTAGGACCTTGACATCCACTCTCCTCCAGGAGATCCTCCAGGACAAGAGAGGTCAGCTTTTAGCTGCAGTGTGCCCTAGGGTCCCTGGCCTCTCTCTCCACAAGCTTTGTGTCTGCTGCAGATCTAAGTGTGCATCCTGCTCTGGGCAGAAGCAGAAGAGCCATGCCCTGGGGCCTCCAGTTCCCATCCTGGGTGGCCCAGCCCACCCCCTGCATTGCAGATCATCAGGTCAGAAACCACGGGGAGCCAGAGATGCCCTCTCTTGTGCCCCGAGGCAGCTGGGGGGAATGGTGGGGGCTGGCGGGGGGAGCAGTACTTGGGAGCTCATTTGTCCTTGGCTTGTGCTCAGAGGATCCTGAGCGGTCAGGAATCAGATTTGGAGGAGTGGAAGCTTCACATGGTCCAGGAGTGCCCCCCTGCGCCCCCCTGGTTGAGTGGTTTAGTGGACAGATCTCTGGACTTGAGTCAAGGGAGGTTATTTTCATCCTGGCTCTACCAATTACTAGCCAAGTGACCTTGGACAAGAGAGTGAACCTCCCTGTGCCTTAGTTTCCTCATCTGCAAAATGTGAGGAATGTTCTCATAAGAGATCAAGGGAGAGAATGTAATTTTAAAGTGTAAGGTATGGAAGGACGTTCCAACAGGTGGATGGACTTGTGGGCGTTCACCTTCTTTTTGCCTGTGTTATTGCTGTTGAGTGTGTGTGTGCATGTGTGTGTGTGTGTGTGTGTGTGAGAGAGAGAGAGAGAGAGAGAGAGAGAGAGAGAGAGAGAGAGTAACAAATACTGCTCTGGTAATAACTCAAATAAAAATAAGGCTATTTCATAAATTGAAAAAAGTGTAACTCATGCTAAGAAACATAAGGTGTAACTGTCATTATGATTCTGTCACAGCCCTCACAGTCGCACATCATAAGCGAGGACCACACTCCCCAGTCCAGAGGGAAAGAAATGGCGCTCCTAATGCTAAGCAGCCAGGGCTTGTGGAGGAGGTTCATCTGCCACTGATGTGCAAATGCCCCCAGCCTCCCCTGGGGCTCGAGCCCACCTCACCCTCATCTCCTTCCCAACATGAACTTCACACACCCTCACTGGCAAACTGCAGAAGAGAAATGCAACTTAAGTGGTCAGGAAAATGCACTTACAGTTCCATGAACAATTAGCAGTTGTTTGATATTTCAGCTGTGACGCAAAGCAGCACCCCATGCAGAGTGGGGATGAGAGGGACACTTAATGGGCTGTACTGGAGGGAGGGGGTAAACCTAACAATCTCTGCTAACATTTAAGGGATTTCGATTTCACTGCTTGATTATCCAACAGGCCCGAGCCCGGTGACACTAAACAGGAAACAAGCATTTGTTCACAGCTGAGGGCAGACACTTTAATCATTGACCCTGAGGCCAGCAGCTGCAGAAGCTCTGGCTTAGAAGGTGGTGAGGCAGAGACAGAGACACAAACAGAGGAGAGAGAGTCAGAAATAGAGAGGAGACAGAGACAGAGGAGAGACAGAGGCAGAAGGAGAGACAGAGGACAAACAAAACCACAGAGAGATGGCCAAGAAGAGAAAGTGAGAGGGAAAGGTGAGAATGGAGACAGGGATGGGCAAACCGAGGCAGAGAGAGACAGTCCCAGAGAAGAAACAAGCCAGGGAAAGAGAGAGAACGACAGACAGGACGGCTGGTAGAAAGCCTGGAGACAGAAACTCCGAGGAGAGAGCTGAGCTGAGAAACCGATGAGGGGGGGCAGGGGCGAGAAGACCCGAGGGAAGGGGAGGTCGGAAGGCGGGCGGGGGCGCCGCGGAGGCAGGGGACGCGGGGCAGCGCGGGCTGCAGGGGGTGCGGGCGGCGCGGGAAGCCTCACCAAAGTGAAGGGGGTGTTGAGGAGCGTGATGAGGATGTCCGCCACCGCCAGGTTGACGATGAAGAGGCTGGTGGCCGAATGCATTCGCTGGTTCTTGAAGATGACATGACAGACCAGGACGTTGCCGAAGAGCGAGAAGACGATGATGAAGGAGTAAGCCACGACGAGCAGGGCTTTCGCCGTGGGGTTCTGGTTCTCGGCGCCGTAGCGCCGCCGGCCCACGAAGTTCTGCCAGTCGGAGAAGCTGTAGTTGGTCCAGAAGTGCGAGGCGTTGGGCATGGCCAGGGCCGCCTCTGCGCCCGGCGCGTCCGCCCGGCCCTCGGGGCGCTCGGCGGCCCGCACGGCGGGGAGGAGGCACAGCAGCGCCAGGTGGGGGCCCATCATGCAGGAGCCGCTGCGCGGGCACCGAGGGCGCCGGCTGCTCTCCCGCTGCTCTGCCCGCGCTGCTCCGCGCGGCCGGCGAGCGCCTCTGCCCGGTGGGCGGCGCGCGTCCCCCCGCCGCCGTGACGCGCTCGCGCGCCGCACCCCGTCCCCTCCGGGAACCAACCCGGCCGGGCTTCCCCAAAGCCCGCTTGCCCGCCTGCCCGCCGGGTTCTGCGTAAGCCTGGGGATCGTGAGCGGGCGCCGCCTGGGGACCTCAGCCCTGGCACCTGGGAACTGAGCGAATCCCTGAGGCTCGGCGGCTCCGGACACTGGCTGCGCAGTGGGACGGATACTAGGGTTTCTCCAAGGCCCGTTAGTGACCAGACTTAAAGACGTTCCGGAGGGCTTCCTAGGTTTTGTTTCCTTCCGTTTGTCAGGACCCTATGGGGGTCTTTGTTTTTCAAGGAAACTCTTGGACGGGATCAAAGAATCAGAGGATCTAAGTGCCCACTTCTTGGGTAACTGACTTTTCCGCCATGCAAGTTTTTGATGCTGTAGTAAGGCGTATTACCTGTATTGTTTCCTGTGTCCCATCTCCTTTTCCAGGAAAACTTAGTACTTGCAGCCCATTTTCACTCCCATTGTGAAGGCTACGAAGTCACCCCCTGCCCAGCCAGTCAGTGGCCTAGTTCCTGTTGAACCTGGGTCAAATCCCAGCTTTGCCACTCCCTAGCTATTAAATCTAGGCAAGTTAACTTTCCTGGCCTTCTGAAAAGCTTTCTTTTTCCTTTATGCGGGGTTTTCTGAGACTCCCGTATTGATCTACCACCACATTACTCTCTGGTGCTAGAGGAGCAATATTTGTTTGACTAGTTATATCTGTGCCCCCACCCTCGTTCAAATGGCAAAACCCATGTGGACTCTTGCTATTGACACCTCACCCTGCTGAGCTGTATCCTTGGGCTGGGACTCCCAAATGACTCAAGCCAAGGAACCTTCTAAAATGTACACTTAGCCTGAAGGACAGCCTACACCTTTGTCCCACCTAAACCCTAAAGAATGGGCCCCTCCCACCAAAGTCCTCCTTTCTCACTAGCCCATGAAAAGCTCCAGCCATCTCTCACTTTGGAACTTTTCCAGGAACATTAGACATCAGCTTCTGTACCCCCTCAAACTCCAGGGAAACAGGTCAAGCTTTCCCATTAATAAGCAACTAGAAAATGGTTTAGGAGTTACAACAGTAAAATACAAGGTGCATTTATCCAGGCTGGAGGGAGTCAGGGACATCTTCCCAGAGAAAGTGACACTGGCTCAGTCCTAAGAGATCAGCAAGACATAGGTCACAGAGGTTGTAGAGGGAAGATGATGGTACATTGCATTAGGAGGAATTACAGTACCTGTGAAGACGTGGAGGTGATGGTGAGCATGGCACAGGGAACAACTGCAGGTGTGTAAGGCAGCCAGTGTGTTATGCAAGGTGGAGTGGAGATTAGAGTGCTGGAGAGGTAGGCAGGGGAGAGGGTTTTTGGAAGTCCCCATGAAGATGTAAATGATTTTCCTGAGGGCAAAAGGAATTCACAGAAGGGCTGTTAAGTAGAGGATGACAAGATCATGTTTGCATTGTGGAAAGAACACTAGCAATTTAATAGAAAATAGAGGGGCTGTGGCTTAGGCAGGAGGTTTGAAGGCTGTTCAAACAATCCAGGTGTGCAGCTGAGATGGGAATCAAGGTGCTAGAAAGGGAAGGAGCAAGGCTGACAGAGATTGGAGGGAGGAAGCAAGGATGACTGCCAAGTTTTCAGTTTATTTGAAGTCAAATAACACAAGTGATCCTTCTTTGACCTCAATCCCTCCTAAAGCTTTGAGCCTACCTGTCTCCATTACTGCATCTCTTGAATGAATTGTGCCCTGGGTGGTCTCAGTTACCTCCACTGATTGAACCATCACTCACCAGATTCCAAGATCTGTGTCTGTAACCTTAACACCTCTCTTGAAAGCTCCAGATCATTATTATATATTCAACTGCTAATTGGCCATTTCCCCTGGAATACCCACACACATAGTTCAACAAGCTCCAAACTAAACTCTGTATCCCATCCCTTACTTTCCTACACTTGCTTCTTTTCTCATTCCTTGTTTACCATGGTTAGAATTTTGGGGTCATCTTACAGCTCCCCAAATTCACAACGCAATGTATCAGAAGATGCTTTTTCTCCATCTAGACTCATCCTCTCTTCCCCCAGGGCCAGAAAAACTTTTATTCTTTAAGACCCAGCTCAAATGTTCTTTCTTATGAAGACTCACTGACCCCTTTGACTGCCACAGTCCCAGCCCAAGCAGAGTCAGTATCCCTGAATCTACTCATGTAAAAGTGCTCCCAAAGCATGTGATCCATTCTCTGGTGCTGCATTCATCTTCTATCCTGTGTGTGACTCATGTCTTCACACTAACCTGTCAGCTCTTCCAGGCCTGCAATGCCCTTATTCCTAGTTCCCTCCTACAGCCAAGCACAGTACCCAGGTAGGGGAAATGGCAGTACATACTGTAAGAGAGACACTGGACCTGGATTCAGACAATCCATGACACAAGTCTTAATTTTCTGAATATTCCTTCTATCTAGTGGGATTCTGGGACAAATCTAAGCTTCAGTCATTAAAAATTATGTCATCCTCTGTCTTCTAAACTCAGTGGAAAACCTACCTTCTGTGAAAATAATTGCATTTTCTGGCCCTGTTGCTGTTTAACCACTTAAAACGAGGATTTCTTCATTAGATCTTTGAGGTGGCAAAGAAAAGAAGATACAGTTCCTCTAATGGGCAGAGCCATGGAATTAATGTTTCAGGAAGACTTTCTGTAATCCTGCAAGTTGAGTCAGATTTTCTAGCACCAGCTCTAATTCTAGGCTCTTAATTGCTACTGAGCTTTTTTTCTACTTCTTTTTCATTTCTGCTGTGTGCTTTGTTTCAACTCAGATCCTCAGAAAGTGAAAGAGGGTAATTAAGAACGATATTTAAGCCATTTGACTAATACCACATTTTTTTTATAGTACCAATAATTTTGTTAAAGATATTTCTAGAAAGTATCACTGGATCTGCAACTCATTTTCACAGGATATAAGCAATAGCTATCATTGATCTACATGCTTTTGAAAAATGGTTTAATAAGACTTTTTTTTCAATTACCACGTGAGGCCGTCAGTTTTGAGCGCCAGAAAAAAAAGTTATATTTCCTTATATCAATTTTATACTGACTTCTATTTTATAAAGTTCATGCTATGATAAAGACAAATTCTAGCAATTACACTTGAAAATTCTGCTTGCACACAGGGAAGCCATGAAAGTCTGTGGTGTTTGAAATATGATCAAACCTCTGAGGAAAAACTACACAATGAAGCAAACAAATAGGAACTGAATGTAAAAATCCAGAGCTTGACCAACCAGTTAGACTATTCCAAAAACATCACAGAGGATATCATAAAAGCCTGAAAGAGGCTTTTTAAGGAAGAGTAATTAAGGGCAGAGTAATAAAATCTAATTTAAATTGTGTGAGGAAAATGACTGCACCATTTATACTATACCTAGAAATTTAATTCATAAATAAAACATCTTAGCAGCAAGCAACTTCTGGAAAGCTGCAGATCCATAGCCCGAGTTTGATGGTCCCTCTGAGCTTATCTCTATCACAGCCTTCTTTTTACACAATGTAGCAACCATTATTTCCACCTCTGGATTCTCCCGTTAAACCGACCTTTCCTGAGTGCAGACATTTTGCTGTTTTCATCTTCAAACCAAGCTTAGCATGGTACCTGGCACAGAGCAGGCCCTTATTAAATAATGTGTGGATATGTGAAAATGTAAATTGTTTTTTTGAAAGACAAAAAATATCAAAGCTGTTTATATCACCATCCTTCCTTATGTAAATCTCTCTCATAGACACAATGGGTTATGGCCTGCTGTAGAAATATACCATCTAAATTATAAAGCCTGAAGTTTGATTTCCTTTCTGCCAATCATGTCTTTAAATATAACCAAAAACTCACCTGGGTCACAAAGGCTCAGGTGGCTGATCAGACCTGTGGCCCACCTCTGACAGTCACAATAAGGACCTGTTACAGGGAGATTGCCTGCTCTCCTCTGGAATAAGTGGTATTTGTGAAAAAAAACAAAAAACAAGAACATAAATAAGAAAATGAAGAACACTACATTCCTATCAACATTTTGGTGTGTTTCCTTGAAATCTTTTTACATAATTGAAATGAAATTTTTATCAGTTCTGTGTCCTATGTATGTTTTCCTGAGAGCATTTTCCATGTTACTAAATGTTTCTAAAAAACTTCCTTTTTAAGGGCTGCATATTTTGTCTCAGGGAATACCACAGCATAACATACTTTTCAATATAATAAATAATGCTGGTGGAATCATCTTTTTACATAAGTATCTTGACTTTTCATACAGAAATATGATTAAACTTTACATGTATCCATCATCCAGCTGCAATCCGTTTCCCCTGCCCAAGTACAGACTACTTTGAAGCAAAATTCCACATTTCATTCTTATGTGTGTGTATACGCATGTGTATACTTTTTGAAAATCAAATAGTCCATCAGTTGTACATACATCTTTGACCACCTTTCTGATTCTGTCCTTAGGGTGGAATCCAAAAAATAGAATTCCAGGTAAGAGAGAAAATGTTTTAAGGCTTATAAGAATTTTGCCAGAATGCTTTGCAGAAAGGATGCATCAATTTGCACTCTGACTAGCAACATGAGAGCACCTTTTCACCATACTCTAACCAATACCTGGTCATTTATTTAACTTTGAAATTCATGTAAAAAGTTTTTTCCATTGATTTTTAGGTTTAAAAATCTTCTTCACCCAGAAGGTAATGGTGAGAACTTTGAAGTTGCCTATAACTGGGCTTCAGTCCTCAGCCCGTATGGCCATGTGACTTACACATCAGTCTCTGAGCATCTGCCTCCCCATTCAGTAATTAGAAGCAGTAGTGTTTGTAAGCGCTTATAGCACAGCCCTGACACACAAAAACAGTTCAATAAATGAGGTTATTTCTTTTAGGCTAGAAGTTCCATAAGGTCATGCT